ACTTGTCCAAGTAGCCCCTCCTGATGAAACTCCAATTTGCAGCATCAACCCCCTTTCCCAAGCCTGAGCCTCCCCCTCAGTTCAATCACTCCTCTCCTTACACCTCATCCGAACAGCAGTCAGCCATAAGGCTAAACACCCAAAGGGAAATCAATATGCCAGTAGAATAGAGTAGCAGAGTTGTGTATATAGCAGTTGTTTCTGCATCACAATTCTACTCTCTGCACTATATCACCTTGCAGTTAGCCCTGCTGTAGCTTCATCTAACAGTAAACATTGTTGGCAGCAAAAGATGTGGCCAGCACCTTCGCAGCCTGCTCTTCCGCCACCTCGTGTCACAGAACGAGTATCGCACCACCAATAGGTAAACTTTCAATTCTACAGTCAGCCTACTGGGCACAACAATAGCAGACGCAAAACGCACGATCTGCAGATGAACACTACATCAACGAAGCAGCGAAGCGTTGACCCCACCGCACAACGTCTTGATGAAGTGAGATCGAAACTCCCTGACTGCAAACTCTCTGACAGTCCTTTCAACTCACAGCAACACCTCCCTCTCAATAGTCACATTTACTCCACACACTCGTGGTGAAGCAGGGTGAACAGTACACCCGCTGATCAGATAAGCCTACCGTCTCAGTCAAGTGCGACAATACGCAATGCAGGACCCTGCAGCAGGATACAACAGCCAAAGCAAGTTGTTTATCAAGACCCTGCAGCAACCACTGTACACGGCAGCTAAGCAACGCAAGTGGGACGCAGTAGCAAGTCGACTATACACGGTCAGCCGTACAGATACAGCAATCGTGACTCTGCCTTTCAACAACCGTGCACTCACACATATACAAAGGACGGAGGTCGACGACCACAACCACCGCACTAGCCGCATTGCTACCGCAACATGTGCTTCATATGCCGAAACCAGTAAGCGCGCGGGCGCAGAATATACAGGCCACTGCTGCGTGAGCTCGATACACTACAACAGTTCGACCCCTCATCCTGCACGGTCCTGCACGAGGCTCAACTCTTCAGCTCGCTCCGCATCACCAGCTTGCCAGAAAAGTTGTCCTTCCTTCTCTCGATAATAGGGGCTCCTCCTTCCTACTTCTTAGTTCCTCTACCCTTCTTACTTACACCGACCGATCGCTTGCCCAGGCTCGCGCCCCTCGTTGTGAATAAGCAGTCGAGGCAACTATCCTTCAAGCAGGTAAGTCTCTACTTCTCGTTTCCCTCCGTCGAACGAATTGTGCCTCAGCTAGCTGAGAGACTGTCAATCTGCGGCTCACTTCCTCGCTCCCCGCACGTAAGCTCCCCGATCACAAACTTTGGGCAAGTGAGTCCGCTCGTCTGAGCCAGGGTTGTCGACCCCCGGCCCCGGGACCCCGCCAGGGTTCCGGGGTTCCGGGGGTCGGCACACGGGACCCCGGCCCCCTGTATGGGGGAAAAAAAAAAACAAAAAAAAAAACAGAGGGGGGTGCGCACCGCCGGCGTGCAGCCCCTGGCATTTTTTGTGTCCTGCAAAAAATGCCCCGACACGGGGTCCCCCCCGGGGGCGCGGACCTCCCTTGGCGGGAGCAGGGTTGCCGCAGCGCGGGGGCGGGGATGTGCTGGCGGGCAT